AGCACACCTGGATGGAATTATGTAACCTCAGTGCTGGCCATGGAAGTGTTCTTGTGGCTGAACATCTCTGATGATGTCCAGTGGCTGGGACAAAGTCTGTGCTTTCCCTATCTGGTATAACTTGGCATGTAAACCCAGCTCAGAATGGCTGTCTGAGGTGAACTCTCTGTAGTCTGCTGCAAATGTATGCATTTGGACTGTTTCTGAGGTGGCTGTGAAAGGCACGTGCTCTTCCTCCAGTGCATTAGAAATGGAGTTGATTTATCCTGTGGAAGAGATCAGCTCATTCTGGCAGCATTGACTCGACATCATGAATCCAGCACATGGACTGCTGGTGAGACCATGCCCTGCCCAGGGAAGGCAGCTGGCAAGATTTTATACTGTTTTGATACCTGCTGGTGGTGTGTGGCCTCTGGACAAAGCTCTGTGACTTCTGCAGAAGTGGGAGAACTTGGTTACACTCTATTAAAGGCATATTTATGTATGCTGTGTGAGACAGCTTTGTTCATAGTGTGTTGTCCTGGTATGTCTCTAGTAAAGCCTCAGCTGTCTTGCCCTATGTGTCAGTTATCAAAGGATTTTTTTTTACAGAGAATAAAATCAGTGGAAGCAAATGAAAGGGCTGACAGCAAGGATTCTGCTGTTCTGGAGAACTGGCAGACTGACCATGAGAAGCACTGGTTATTTGCATGGGTCTTGCTCTGGTTTGTAGAAATTGCACTGGATTGTTGCAATGTTGTACTTGTCCTGTGGCAGACCAGATTATTTATTTTCACAGCAAGGGCAGTGGGGCAGAATAAAGTGAGCAAGTCTGTGCTGCTGTTGCTAAGTTATTAGTTTGTAGTACGTGCTGTCTGTTTTACCAGTAATCACAGGTTTTTGGTGGATGTGGTGGAAGTTGGTTCTGAGTACTTTGCTGATTGTTGGGCTTATGTCTCTGATCTGGGTACTCAAAGCAGGACTTCTGACTTGAGCTGTGGATTTTTAATTGCATCTCAGTTGTTGCTGACTGCTGTCTTTGACTGAGGTTCTCTATTACTAGCAGTTATGCACAAGGCAGACAGTTGTTCAGCCTTTAAAGCAGCACAGCTTTGAACAAATTTTGTTAGTAAGTAACTTTGTTAGGGTACTGATTGTTTGCTTTCTTCTTCAGTTTGGGTGATTTACAGGAGCACATTGTGCCCCAGTTCCAGGAGGTGGGTCTCAGTCTCTATAGAAATAGCAATCTTCATGCTGTTCTGCCAGATATTTCTGACTGCTGCTGTAATTTACAGAGGCTGGGGACAGAGTGGCTGGAGAGCATCTAGGCAGAAAGGGACCTGAGAGTTTGGATAGACAGGAAGCTGAACATGAGCCACCAGTGTGCTCAGGTGGCCAAGAAGGCCAATGGCATCCTGGCCTGGATCAGGAGCAGCATGGTCAGCAGGACCAGGGAGGTGATTCTGCCCCTGTACTCGGCACTGTTGAGGCCACACCTAGATTAGTTCTGGACCCCTCAATTCAAGAGGTATATTGAGGTGCTGGAGCAGGTCCAGAGAAGAACAACGAGGCTGGTGAAGGGACTCGAGCACAAGTGCTGTGAGGAGAGGCTGAGGGAGCTGGGGTTGTTTAGCCTGGAGAAGAGGAGGCTCAGGAGAGACCTTATCACTAGCTGCATGTATCAGGGAAAATTCCCCATCTCTCAGGATGTCACATGCTGGAAAGCTGGAAATTAATTCATGAAAAGCAGAGCTGCAGTTGGATACAGAAGTATGTGTCATAAAGAGCCTGAGATACTTCTTTTAGTCACTGCTGTAAGTAGGAACAAGGGTGGGGTAAAGGCCATCTCTGAGTGGCTCCACAGTCTTCCACTATGAAGAGAGATGAGCAGATGAGCATTTGAGGATGCTCATGTCATTGTGAACAAGAGGATATAAGCAGAATCTCTCTCTGTCCACTAACTTTGTGTTCTCATAACCTCCATCTGGTGTCTGCAGCTATTTAAAGGTAGGTGAACACACAGAAAGTTAAGCCTTTGATTGTGAAAGCAAACAGAAATTAGGAATTAGAAGACCAGCACAGGTCAGAAGCTCCTTGAACAATCACAGTTGATTTCATTGAAACCTGCTGCATGCTCAGTTTTTGAAAAGACTTCAGGTGCCTCAGCACAGGTTATTAGAAACATAACTCCTTTTAAAAACAAACCTACTGGGAACAATTCAGCACTGCTCTGTAGTGCAGTGTGTCAGACTTTGGGGTTGAAATACAGTAATCTTTCCACTGCTTGCATTTCAGACAACCACATCAGAAGATTGTGCAACTTTTGGTGTACCTTTCCCATTAACAGGGAACAGGCAAAATATTTATTCACATTTAATCTGCTGAAATAAATGGAAAAATCTATATTGGGATGTTTCCATAACATTGGACTAAAATTCAGGTACTTCAGTTAGTCTGATCCTCTTGTTATTCTCCTCAGGCTCTAACCTGTAGTGAAAGAGGAGAGAAAATTAACATTAAATGAAAGGAAAAAAAATAAACCATAGCTTGTTGGTACAGTTGTAGAAGCAACCCAGTAATTATGTCCAGATTCTTTGCAAGTGTTGTGTGAGCACTGTGATTGCTATGGACTAGCTTCAGTAGATTTGGGAGGAATATTAGAAAGGGCTCTTACATTAAGGATTTGCTTTTATTGTACAAATTGAATGGTATAAACATCATTCAGGATGGGCAGTTTGTTTAGGAATATTGAAGACTCATGGGCAGCTTCCTGTGCAGTATTTAATTCTGAGTGCGTTAAAAGAATCTTTGTGAAATGTTTTAAATGTAAATGCAAAATAACTAAGAAAATATAAATGAGATATGACTAAGTTTGGTCAGGTGATTCTTCATCAGTGATTTTTGCTTGTTGATCTCTACTAGGAGGTGTGGCAAATTTGTGATATTGCAGGGATGTTTCTGCAACTCAATGGAGAGAATCATTGGCTCTGGTGATAACCAGCTGGGAAAGGTGATATGAAATTAGAAAGTTGTCACGGTGCCTCTGCAATGACTTAACTGTTTCTACTCTGAGTGTCTGAACAAGACTATTTAACCACCTAAAGGACTTAACCGAGGAGTGTTGGTGTTTCATGAGACTAAACCAACAAGTCCACAGTTGACTGGCACATTTGAGATGGATATAGTTTTGAGTCTAGGAATGTTCAACGAGGCATTTGATACAGCTGTTTGGGTAGCATGGGGTAGCTGTAGCCAGCTTCAGTAGGAATTATCAATTCACAAAAAGATTGTGTCAGAACAAAAGGGAGATTTGGCTATAATGACAGCAATTATGACTAGCTGGATTAGCCATGTGGGAGAATACCATGTAGTTAATTTTTGTCTATTTGGTGCTTTTAATGGAAGATGGCACTGACCAGGATTTCTCTTGGGACAGGGGGTGTCTCACTAAAATATGAACTGACGGGGTGAGTATTTCTCTTCAAAACAAAGTGAGAGAAGTTTGTCTATACTGCCTTCATCATGAGCTCCAGGTTGTAAACCCCTAAGATGGAAGGCATTAAACTGGCTGTTTTTCTAGACTACAATTGTGTGTTACTCCAGGGGTAAAATTCTACACTGGAAAAGGTAAGAAGCTCTTTAAAGAGGGGAAAAAAAAAAAGCTATATTTGATGTATGCTCGGCAGTCTTAGAGCAGATGCAGCAGTCAGAGGTGCATGTGCCTGTGAAGTTTTTGAGAACTGACTGATGTGGTCACTCTTCTTTCTCTCTGAAGAAAAGGAAATGAGATACAGCTGGGATTCCTTTACTGACTTGCTAGATAACATGGCAGGCTTACAGATGTTAAAAGCTGGAAGATGATGTCAGTGTTACACATTTGAAACAAGCAGGGAATGAGGAGAGAAGAAACATCCACAGGGTTCTTGTTTATGAACTGTTACCATTGATTGTATTGTAGAGTGATGAGTTCATATCAGTGAGATGAAACACATGTTGATTGGTCATCTGGTAAGACATTCTCAATAAGGCTTTCTTGTTGATAGGTAAGACTTACCCATTCTAAGACAGTATTAGAAAGCAGCCAAAGGAGGGTTACAAAGCTGGTGAAGGGCCTAGAGGGGAAGCCATATGAGGAGCAGCTGAGGTCACTTGGTTTGTTTGGCCTGGAGGCGACGGAGGGGAGACCTCATGGTACTCTACATCTTCCTCATGAAGGGAAGTGGCGGGGCAGGCACTGATCTCTCTGGTGACCAATGACAGGAGCCGAGGGAATGACATGAAGCTGTGTCAAAGGAGGTTTAGGTTGGATATGAGGAAAAGATTGTTCACCAGATTGTGTTTGGGCACTGCAACAGCTTACCAGGGAAGTGGTAACAGCACCACCAAGCCTGACAGAGTTCAAGAAGTGTTTGGATAATGCTCTCAGACACATGGTGTGACTCTTGGGGGGGCTGTCCTGGACAGGGCTAGGAGTTGGATTTGATGATATTTGTGGGTCCCTTCCAACTCACGATATTCTGTTATTCTCTATATAGACTGATTCTTTAAGGCTACATAAATGTGCTGTATGAAAAAGTGTGTGCAAAGGGTTCTGTGTGCTTAAACTTGTCACATTAAGGTTGCCTCATCTGTAAGACTCCTGTGCCTTATTAGACTTGCCAGTGTCAAAAGGTCATCAGTAAGACTTGGTTTTAGGAAGTGAAGTGTTAGCAAGGCTGATTTATTAGGACTTAACTGTAATAAATCCAGTTAAGTGAAGGACTGTGGAGGCTCTGCAGTCCACTGAGCTGAGCAGTTGTTAAAAACCTTTGGTTAATGTCATCCAGTGCTTCCCTTCTCTTGTCTCAGTCCATCATGGCTGTGTGATGAGTACACAACAGCTTTGTTGTCAGTTGCATGAGGTTTATTTGTTGAGCTGATGGCGAAGCCAAGAGGAGGTAAAACAAGTGTATTGTAATTTACAGCTGGTATCACTGCACCCAGTACTTACATGAACTAGAAGACTTTCGGGGTATTGTAATCTAGAACGGTGGCCTGGGTCTTGTAGGAACTGCCTGGACTGTTGCTGCCATCCCTCCTTGGGGGTATCCCTGGGGGCGGCACTCATAAATGTCACTCGTTAACACAGGTGGAATATCATGTTAAGGAGCTAACCATTTCTGTACATTTCTGTAACTAAAATAATGTGTGGAGGCTGAAATGAATTCTGAAAGTAAGGTTGTGAAACATCTTGAATCTGGAATACTGCCCTGAACTCAAAGATTAAAGACCAGGTAAAACTTGGGGAATTTCAATGTCATGTCCAGAGTATATAAAGCCTCAAAAGAGTTGTTACCTAGTACTCTGGTCAGGCACAGAGGACCCTGAAGTTCTCCATTCTTTGGTAAGTGTGGCTTTTACTGTGAATGAAGTTTCTGTCAAGTTTCTTTTATAGGTTTCCAGAAGACCTCTTCATGCAAATTTGATTAAAAGTCAAACAGAACTTCATCTACCCAAACTTGCCCTTATAAAATGATAATATATATAATTTTATCTAAGAAAATATTTGTAGTTTCTGGAGCACAAGAGAAGGAGAAATCATAGTTCTTGACTTTGTTGTTTTCTTTTACTCTACCCCTGTCCTCAGTTAAACAACTAAAAGCCCCCTGAACCCACACTGGGCTCATTTCTGGCAGCATACATGCACTTCTGTGCTTGAATCTTTGCTGCCACAGGGACTGTCTCACTTGTCTGTTTAGTTTCCATGATCCTACATCACTTTGTGGGTTCTGAGGTTGTACCATCAGATGCTACCATAGATTCAAAAATGTTATAAAGGATTTTTATGAGGGGTGGTGGGAAAGGGTTCCTATCATTTTATTTTTTTACAAGCCATGTCTTTCTGAGTTGCTGTTCTTCCTTTCCCCACTTTTCAAAACCTTGTTATTCTAATGCCAAATTGCTTTTGGCATCAGAATCTTAAATTGTTCATTTGTTGTGCTTTTGAAAGTACCCATTTGTGTGTTTCTGAAAAGGACAGTAAAGCTTGCTACCTCAGCACTGGAAACAATGCTTAAGGCTTCTGAGAGGCAGTTGGTCCCCAGGGTTGATACTACAAGGTGTGTGTAGGAAATAAGACAAGAAAGGATATTTGCTTTCACAGGCAGGAGAAGAGTTTCTGTTTCTGTTACTATTTCAATATCATGGGAAACTTCTTCAAGGCCACCACTGTCTTCCCCTCCAATTACCATGGCAAAAATCTCTATCTCCAGTTCAACCTGCAAGCCTGCTGCCACCTAGGAAAGACAGTGGATTACTCACAGTTAAGGTGCAAGTTTCATACATGGTCCCCTCCAGCAGTGGTGGTTCTTCAGTGTTGTCTGATGAAATTCAAGACTTCGCTGCCCAGCACACGATTGCACTCACCAGTTACCCAGTACCTGTTTCACTAGAAAGGTCTGTACAAAACACTGTCTCTTCAAAAAGCAGTTGGAAAGAAAATTGCCAAGTGTTTGCATATTTCCCCCTTAAATTTCCTTTTAGGTTCCAGAGGGAAAGGGGAATTGGGACAGCTAGAACAGAATCAATCAAAAAAGAGGGGTGATTGATGCCCCAATCCTGTTCAAGAAGCATTTGAGCAGTATCCTTAATACTGTGCTTTAATGTTTGATCAGCCCTGGAGTGGTCAGGCAGTTGAACTAGATGCTCACTGTAGGTCCCTTTCCAATGAAATAAAATAAAATACTCTGTTCTAAAAAGAACACAGAGGTAGGGAGACACAAAAGGGATGGATGTGTGGAGTAGAAAATGGAAATAATTCCAGCCATCTAGCTAGATTTCTGTAAGGCCTTTGACACAGTCCCCCACAACATCCTTTTCTCTAAATTGGGACATTTAAAATTCCTTTCCAACCCAAACAACTCTCTGATTTTTAAGTACTGAGTTGTGACTAGGGCTCTGGACCAGAAGGTTTGAGTTGCATTCGGGCACTGCCTCCCCACCTCTCCTTCTGCTTCCCTGCACAAGTCATTGCTTCCTCATTCCACAGATTGGCAAAGGTATTGCTTGGTATTACCTAGATTCTGTGGAGATCCTGGCCAGCACTATTCAGCTGCAATGTGCAGGTGAAGAGAAAGACTGAATACAAAGCATGAAAGCTTCCTTCTTATTGGAATAATTTCATGTGCTATGGTGATTTGCTAGATAAAAGACTTAAGGTGGAGAATAGTTGGAAGCAGGAGAAGAAAAGATTGAGGCAATAGTTTACTAGGTTCAACTCTTCAAAGTGTCAGGACAGGAAATTAAATCTAGGCAAAAGACACAGCAGATATAACAAATACCCTAAACTGAGGGGAAAAGCCAGAGGTAGTGGTAGTGTAATGCCATTTACATTGAAAAAGCTCTTTAGCCTCACTGCTTGGCCTGCTTCTTTCCACTGAACTTAACATGTTTATCTCTCTGCATTCTGCCAGGGGCTCAGAGATTCGAGCACACAGGGTGCTTGTCTGAAGGTGGCAGAAGGACAGTGGAAGACAGCATCACTTCACATAACTTTAAAAAAACTGTACCCTGCCAGCTCTATTCCCAAACAGCTGGTGTGACAGAACCCCCAGATATCCCTGAGGGTCAGGTGAGTCTAGCAAAAACCAAAAGGTCTTCTGTTAACCTACAGGTCCTGGTGTGTACGTCACTCTCAGTCCTGTGTGTGGAGGTGGCTGTTTCACATGAAACCTGTCAGAAAGAGAAGAGAATCAGTTTGCCAGAAACGGTTTCAGGCAGGCAGAAGTCACAGGTAGGAAGCAAGCTGTCTGCTCTTCCTCTGTTTTTGTAAATTACAGCAGAATTTGTTAGCTCATCCTTTCCATCACGATGTACAGCTGGGACTGCAGCAATATTCCTAGGCTTCTTGCCAAGGCTCAGATTTATAACAAAAAAAAAACCACCACAAAGGAGCAGATTAATGAGCCAAAGTAAGCCTTCAAAGACCTTGTTAACACTGCCTGGTCCTTACAACAGAATTTTAAGCCTCCACAAAGAATGCTGAAGTATAAACATCTTGGCAAATAACTGTTTGTTGCACACCCAAAAGTCCTTAACAATCTTTATTTAATGCCTTTTGATGTGATTCTATTGCAGAAGGCAGGATACTGGTATGAATTTTGTATAAATAATCTTGCATTTAATAGTACCAACTAAAGCAGAACTTCCTCATTTATGACTGATTTTTTCACACCTGAGATTCAGACCTTTTCTGCGTGCTACTTCCACTCTTAAGATTTCTAAAAATCATTAGATCAGATATGACTTTTAATTTTGCATCACTTTAGAATTTATCCTGTGGATTTCATGTCCACCTGAAGAACAGTTACCAGCATGCACTTGGACCAGAGGCTGTTAAAGGAATGGCAGTAGAAGAGGCTCCATCTTATGGAAAGCTCTGGCAGATTCAAAGTGGCTGTCAGAATTCCTGCTCTTTCTCTGGAGTGGTCATGAGAAACTGTACTTGATTTTTGTCAGGATAAATTTGGACAAAGAAAAACCAGGGTACTAAAAATTCAAACTAACCTTAAGAAGTTCACACCAACATTCTTCATGATGACAGTGGCTGCATAGGTGCAGCCTTCCTTTAGCACTCCAAATGTCACTCTGGACGGAATGACATGGAAGGCATTAAGATCCTGTCTTGCTGTTGCAAGAGATGAGGTGTTGACCTTTCCTGCGACAGGATCTTCTGTCTGTGAAGAAAAAGGGCAGACAATAGACAAAGTTGGTGGTAATCAAGTTAGGTTCAGTGTTAGTTAGCCTATATATGACCTCCGTCCACTCATCCTGAAGAATTACAAAAAGACATCATAATTTCAGTAAAAACTGAAGAGGCACTTTGAATACTGTCTGCAAATTTATAATGGTTTCAGTTTTTAGATGTGTTAAGACATTGAGGTGTCTCAGGGAAAATGAAGGAAACATTTTTTGAAATCAAAATTTTCATGTGGGTGTCTGTGCAGACCAAGTTTGTCCTAGCAGTTAAGAGGAATGGTATTTTAGAATTGCCAGTAAAAGTACATAAATTGAACTGCCATGTTTCAGTAAATGGATCAAAAATATCTTCTGGTATTGCTCCAGAGTGAAGATTTATGCAAAGGAGATGACTGAGAGGGTATTAATACAGACAAGAAAGATGTTCTTTTACCTTTTTATTTGGTATGGAGTTTGGTTTTTTCCCCTGAAGGGATGATGGTAATATTACTTTCTCTTTTCTTGTCTGTCCTGCAGCATTCACCATCAGACTTTGAACTTTATGTTGAACAGGTGTCTTTTCTAATCTTGCAGCCTTGTTTACATCTGGAAAGGAAAGATTTCCAAAAGCATGAAAAACTAAGCATAATAGGTGCATTTAAATTTGTATTATAAATATTTTGTCAAAAGTTAGAAGAAGGTATTAACCTGCCTCAAACTATGTTCTGGAAGACAGCTTTACCTGTTGTGCTGTTGGCACCTTCATTTTCTTTGGAAGGAGCCTGCAGCAGGAGGGCAAGTGAAGGTGATGAATCACTTATGGTATCAAGGCATTCCGCTTCTAAAGGGAATATAATGAAATATTGAGACAAGGGATTTCATGGTCATCAGCATTTCTGTAAATGGGTGAAAAAAAATCACAAAGTCTTTAGCACTTTAATTTAGACAACCCTAGAAAGCTGTCTACATAACCATGAGAGGCTGGGAAAATTGTACATGTGACATTTTGCTCCACTGGGCCACAACGATCAAAAAATGCCTGTCATGTGATTAGTCATTTCTTGTTCTCTGGCTAAGTGAGCAAAAACCCATAAAGGGCTAAAGGACAATCCAACACAGGTCTCATAGTGACTGCAAAATGAGGGAATATCAGAATTAGTGGGGGTCTGATAAAGCCCAATGGAGGACTGTTTTCCTGATATGAATCTTTGCTGTGTATGACTTTTAACCTCACGTATGATTTCAGTAACTGGTCAGGGCTGCTTTTCTAACAGAACTGAAGTATTCCTCTCAATGCTGTAAGGCTCAAACATAAGATGATGGTTCACTCTTTTACTGCTTCTCATCATCTAATCACTGCTTTTCTTCTCTATCCTCCAAACTATCTTTAGCCTGCATGTTTCCTATTCCATATAACTTTTGCACCAGTCCCCAAGCTGCCCCTCTTACCACTGTTCCTAGTTTGCTCCTACAGTCATACTACTCTTTTTCTAAACTTGGCCTCCTTGGTTCTTGCTCATCCACCCCTAACTATTGTTTATTCCACTTAAGTTTTTATTGAGCATTTTGCTAATTCATAGCACAATTCTGCAGCTTTGCATCCAAAGCCAATGGTGCTTCCACATTCAGTGACGTCTGCAAAGTAGCTTTTTCCTCCTGAAGAAGACAGTGAAATGTTTCCAGATAGTAGATTACCTCCACTGGGGTTTTTTTTTGTCCCTAGACAGTAAGTCACAGTTCCTCTTTTTTGAACCGGAGGAAGTGCCATAGACAGTGCTTCCACATCAGAAAACTAGAGGAAAGTAAGAAAGAGGGCTTAGGTCTCCCAACTAAACACTTAGAAAAAACAACCAGCAGACATCCTCCTCCCTTGGCAAAATATAATAATAATGTAAAAAAAAAAAAAAGGCGTGCAAGAGAAACAATCAGAACCAAAGTGGTGACTATAAAGAAGATATACGTAGTTTCCTCAGATTTCAATGTACATTTTTGAATATACTTCATGGACTTAAAGCATTTATCAGGTGAGATTACAACAGGAAAGCTCCCAAGGTCACCTCTAAACTAGGATTGTTAATTTTACTAATTCCCTTTCTAATTAGCAGAGAGAGGGTTTTGAGAGGTAAGTGAAAATACCTGAGGTTCAGCTACTGCTCTGAATCTGACTCTCTCCAGATTTATGTAAGGAATTCTACACTTAGTACTCAGTAAACATGCACCAAATTCAACGTGTTTCCTTGGACAAGGTCATGTAATTCCTGGTATGAATTCTGCCACGACTGTCCTCTGTAAACTGAGGCTGAGATATAAACCCACAACTGTCTGTGGGAGTATGGCAGAAACTACCTTGCTTAACACAGTCTCATCCAGTTTACAGCTGCATTACCTTTATTTGGAAAAACTCCTTCCTGAATTCTGATTCAACATATGGAGGAAATATTTTATTTCTTATTGCTGTTAAGGACTTCTTTTCTTTGTCAAGTTCTTTCCTAAGGAAGTTTTTTGCATTGTTGGTAAGGAAAAGAAAGAAAAAAAAATCATTATAACTGAGTTCACCCTGTTTTTCAGTGTTACACATTTAAGAATGGCATTGGTAAAGGCAACTGAACTGTGTGGGGCAGTCAACATGCTGGAGGGGAAAGGGACGTGCCATCCAGAGGGACCTTGACAGGCTTGAGAGGTGGGACACTGCAAACCTCATGAAGTTTAACAAAACGAAATGCAAGGTCCTACTTCTGGGCCATGGCAATCCCAGGCACACCTACAGGTTGGGTGGGGAAGTAATTGAGATCAGCATCCAGGAGAAAGACTTGGGAGTGACAGTGGATGAGAAGCTCACCATGAGCTGGCAGTGTGCACTAGCACAATCAAAGCCAATCTAATCCTGAGCTGCATCAAAAGGAGTGTGCGAGCAGGTCAAAAGAGGTGATTCTCCACCTCTGCTCTGCTCTTGTGAGACCCCACCTGGAATACTGTGGGCAATTCTGGTGTCCTCAACATAAGAAGGACATGGAACTGTTGGAGCAAGTCCAGAGGAGGCCATGAAATTGGTAAGAGGACTGGAGCATCTCCCCTATGAAGACAGGCTGAGGAAGTTGGGGCTGTTCAGCCTGGAGAAGACTGCATGGAGACCTCATAGCAAGTTTTCAATATTTGAAGGGGCCTATAAGGGAGCCAGAGAGGGACTCTTTGTTAGGAACTGCAGTGATAGGACAAGGGATAATGGATTCAAATTGAAGGAGGGGAAGTTTAGGTTAGATATTAGAAATAAGTTTTTTACTGTGAGGGTGGTGAGACACTGGAACAGGTTGCCCATGGAGGTGGTGCCTGCCTCAGTCCTGGCAGTGTTCACGGCCAGGCTGGATCAATCACAGAATCATAGAATTTAAGGGTTGGAATGGACCTTATAGATCATCTAGTCCCAATCCCCACTGCCATGGGCAGGGAAACCTCCTCACTAGATCAGGTTGCTCAAGGCCTCATTCTAGCCTGGTCTGTAACACTGCCAGTCAGGGCAGTATGCATACACATCCACACACATTTTCTTCTGTAGAAGCACTTCTCAGCTGAGGTTTAGAACTGACCCAGAATTGCCATGAAAAACACTTTACAAACATCAAATCGAAGTACAACAGGCAATTTTCAAAGTGGAATATTCCGATAGGGCAAATTTGCCTTGCTTTAGTAAGGCATTGACTTTTAAGATGACCTTAATCTTAAGATTCTGCTTAAAGACCTCTATCAACTGGAATTTGTGGAATACCTGAAACTTAACCTAAAGCATCAGCATTTGAAAATATTAATCTACAGTATTTTCCACACTAGTGACAGAACCAGAAAACTAAACAAAGGGCTTCTGACTTCAACCTTTTTTGAATAGTGTACAGTAACGCTCCTAGATTTTGGGAGGGGAAGAAAAAGAGAGGCTCAAACAATTTGTTCAGCATCTCTGTTGCAGAAAATACACCATTATTTGCTAGCAAGCCGTTGGACCATTACCTCACACCTGGTGAAATCAACAACATTCCTTCCAAAAGCAGATTAAGTTGGCTTAATACAGTAAATCACTTGATCCTACTAATACTATTACCTGTGCTGTTCCAGTCTGCTTTGCCAGTTGGACATTGCTGCTACTCCTTCTGGGCTGAATGATCAGGAAAACAAAGAGAGTAGTGGAAATGAGAAAACTAGCATTGTGTTCTATAAGCACAAAAATACGTACAAGATAACCCTGGAAAAAAACACTCTTTAAATGAGTGTGTTATGTTACCACCTCAGGTGACTCTTGACTTGCATGGTTTGCACAAAATTGACTGTATCTTCATTTTTATTAGCTTATTCAATCAAAGAAATATCCAAAATCCTTTCCCAACAAACTTTAAAGTATCTTTCAGATAAGGAAAGAGAGGCACAGAGGGACAAAATAATCACAGGACAAGCTAGCAAAACACTGTGATATGTATCTAGAGATCTCAGGCCTTAATGACAGTCAGTGAAGTCCAATGCCTTGCCTGTGTGCTGGTTCCATCCTTGGTGTTATTTACATTTGCATCAGTTGTCACTGCTCTGTCCTACCTTAACCTCTGCTGTTGGTCCTCTCTTTGCACAGTGATTGTCTTCTTTTTGTGACATGGGTGATGAGAAGACACTGCCTGTTCATAGAGCTCACTCACATGGGCTGCAAGGTAAAAACATGTTTAGTGAACGCACATTCTCTGTGCTAAGTGTTGTGAATAAAAAACACGGAAGGAGATATTTTTAATATATCTTTCTGTCACTTTATGAAAACCTAACAATAGAGTCTTTGTTACTGTGAAGGAAAAGGCAGAAAGAGCTCCTGAAAGGAGGTTGTACTCAGGTGGGGGTTGGTCTCTTCTTCCAGGCAGCTAGCAGGAGGACAAGAGGGCACAGACTCAAGCTCTGCCAGGGGAGGTTTAGGTTGGATATTAGGAAGAGATTTTTTATGGAGAGAGTGATAAGGCATTGGAATGGGCTGCCCAGGGAGGTGGTGGATTCATCATCCCTGGAGGTTTTCAAGATGAGACTGGATGTGGCACTTAGTGCCATGGTCTAGTAACCACAATAGGGTTGGACTTGATGATCTTGGAGGTCTTTTCCAACCTGGTTGATTCTATGATTCTATGAAATTAATTCCAAAATCATGTTTAGAACATTACAGATGAGAAATTAATTGTATTCAATATAGAAAGCACCAGAAGCAGATTAAGTTCACACTTCCACCCTGTATTTCCTGAAATATCATTATGTTCTTTCGAGATACCTGTGAATAGGAAAAGTTACTGACATTCTGCCTCTTTCTGACTGGGGAGCAACATTCCAGGTCTCTGCTGGTCCCAGCTGAAGAAAACAATGTGGGCTTTCAGGGACCTTTATTACATTCAGGTTGCTTAAGTTGTGCTTAGTTGTAGCTGTGAAGCAGCCACAACCAACATTCTCATGAAAGGAATGACTAGTTCAATATGTATAATGGAGAAATGCCAGTCTTTCCATGTTTGAGATTGTGACCAGTTCTGAGGCTTTAACAAGGAGTTGCCCTGTACTCTGACATATTTTATAAAATGTGTTGTTTACTTTATGCTGTGAAACTAAACCACTGAGTCCAAAGAGATTTCCTTGGCTGAAAACAAATTTCTGTGGCAAAACTTAGGAGATGTGAGTATTTGAGAGATTTGACTGTGACAATGTCTCTTAGCATTTTGGGAATTATGTAAATTTAAACTGCAAAATGTGATTTTTTTTGTTGTTGTTGGCTTTTCCACCATAAAATATAATTTTCTTTTTCTGCTTTTTCTATTTATACATATTTTAAAGAGCTTTCCCTCTATCTTCTTCATTAATAATGTCACATTAAAATTGCAACTCCATTTAAAATCAGGAAACTGTAGCAACCATTTGTTCCAGCAGTTTCCATTTACTTTGCACACTATGCTTTTTTTTAACAAGCAGAAATACTCTTGACAAGGTAGGAAGGGCAGAAAAATAACACTTTTAAGACTAGCATCACTATGGGATAGAATGCTACGGATTTTTCTATGGGAAAAGCTTATGGATTTTTAAAAGACATTAATTTTTATTTGTCTATATTGAAAACATTAATTAATGTTAAGAAGTGTCTTATGAAAACTTTAGCAGAAATTCAGGAGAGAAAACTAATACATTGTTCCATCTTTTCCCTCAGGCAAAGTTAATGTAACCAAAACATGATTGTTTGACACCAGATTTTGAAGTGTGATACATAACCAGGCTTTATCTAGTTGCTTTGAAAAACTTTTCTGAAAAGTTGATACTTGTATAAAAGTAGCCAAGTACTGTCATAGTTCCTGTACTTACAAAAACATACAACACGTGGAAATGTGAGTGAAAATATCAAATACACATACCTAAGCACAGGAATTACATTTTAGAGGTACTGAATCATTAATGCTAACAAGTTCTAATCACCTGTGAAAATCACACAGCAGCATGTACATAGCACATAGATGAATTCACCTTTTATTCCTTCTTTAAAAATCGTATTACTGCACTTTAAAACTTACAATGACACTGTACAATTAAAAAATAAAGACATTCAGTTTTCATTACCTCTATCACTGAGATTTTCAGTTGACTTCTCCCAGTTAGGGAAGGACTGCAATGAAAAAGGAATAAAATTCACAACAGCATCTTGTTTGAAGGACTTCCATCTTAAATAAGTGTTATCTGTTACCTGACAGTGTGACTACAAGAATGGCAGTATTTCAGTGTGTTAGAAGACATGAGATGGCAAAAAAAGAAATTAAGTACAAATTCCCTGGTCTAAATAGCTAATTGTTTCCTTCTTAATGACCTACTTCACAGATGGCTTTGTATTTTATATGGTTGCGGTTTATTAAATCAACTAAGCTAATTCATAATCAAACTCAAATCCTTCTGCAAAGGATTTGAACCAGATCTAAAACTCAAAAGTCACAACAAGTCAAATGGGAAACATGTTCAGGGATTTGTAGGCCTTGTTACTGAGGAGCCACGTGGTTGGTTTACACCAAAGTGTATGAGGGGTAAGAGACACTAAACTAAGGGACTGAGTAGCATGTGAGATTCAACACTTGGATCTCACCAAAGCAAATACATGTCTGCCTGGATAGAGGCAGATGGAGTTACTGACAGATCATCTCTCTGTTCCTCTTTCCTGAAAAGTTGTGAGCTCTTTCCTGGTTTTTCTGCAAGATATTTCTTTTCTCTACTCTCTTTTTAAGATTTGTATGTCACTTGAAAATACTGAGCAAGAAAAAAATAAAATACAAAAGGTTGAAATAATAAAAAAAATCGGGTTTAGTTTCAGCAATTGAAAATGCTAACTTCGCTGAAAAGTTCAGAGGCAAATGCTAGAATTACGTGGGGGTTTTTTTGTTAAGCTTGTGTGGAAAACCCCAAAGAAACAGTAAAGTTACTGATGTACCCAGAAAGCTAGGAAAAGGAAATTATTATTATTATTTAAAACTAGAAAGATCTCATTCCTAATGTTTCTACATGTAGAGACAAGGTTTATAAAAGGTATACTCTAAAACTAGAATGCTTGTTTGCTAGAACGTCATCACTTTTGAAAGGTCAACAGATCGTCTGGAATGAATATTTTAGCTAACATGGCTATATCTTATTTTTCAAAAAGCCAGATTTTTAAGTTCAGTATGTTTGAATTCACTATAAACAAGTTATTTGATTAAATGGAAATAAAATTATTTCCTAAATGAAACTAAAAAATAAGTGTTTAATAACTACTACAAACCTAGAGTGTGTATTCATATTTAAAGGAAGCTGTAGGAAACATTATTTAAAGAACTGAAATAGTGCAAACTGATCACTCTTTACCTAACACATAAGTAGCATTTATCTCATTCATTCTAATTCATTCTACCCACTTCTGCTGCTTGAACTTTATTTTAGTCATTGATCTCCCACTAGCCTCACTGCTCCCTGCTACCCCATGTCCCTCTTCTCCTGTTTACTCATATTTCCCATTACCTATTCCTCTCCTTTTTAATTTCATACTCTAATTATCTGTACAAATTAGAGGATTACATTAAAAAAAAATGCTGCTCAACAATAATAACAATATTCGTCCAGATTGTTTATAGATTATCCCAAGAGCAAGGTTTACATTTTCACTATGGAGGTGGCTGTGGTGGAATAGAAGTCTCCCAGGTGCAGTGCCAACAGACTGGAAACATTCTCATTCTAATGTTGGGGGATATTCACAAAAATGTAAGCTACTAAAAAGTAATTTTGGCCTGTGTGTTTGGGAGCGTATCACTGACTAGAGCCAAACTCTTGAACTGCTTTGAGCATTGCTTCCCCAAATGGCAGTAGTGCCATTTGGGAGCCCAGCGTAATGCTGAGTGTGGCTCTGCTTTACCATTAAACCACAGCAGAGCTGGCACTGTGTTATCTTGGCATTTGTTGTTTCATTAATGAAAAATTACATGTTTTAAGGCTCACGCTTTCAATGCAATACAGCGACTTTTTTGGAAAAAGTAGTAAAAAATTGTATTTGTCTCACTGTAACCAGCTCAAGGAGACTTGAAGCATTCTCCTTTTCCTCTTCTGTTCTGGGTTCTTTCACATTCATCTCTTCCAATTCATCTTCCTGCTTCAAAATATTGTCTATATATTCCTGGTGGAACAATGAAAAAGAACAAGTAAAATGCAGATGTTTTCTTTGCAGAGGTAGAATTAGGGGACACATATATAGATATTCAATTTATTTAAAATCTCTTCTAAGATCATCTTTACAATATGAATTAAATAAATGAATGTTTAACACCAACACTGAGCCGTGTGAAGCTGCTGACAAGGATCAGCTGCAGAACTTGTGGACTCCATCTCAGAACACTTGCACACGAGGTCTAGCTTGCACCTTGTATGAAACCAGTCTAGTGTGGGATGGACACAAACTTTGTCAGAAGACTACACAGCTATTTGCTAGACATGGATAGAGTGTAAGAACTCAGACTTGAGCCTGGAAATGTTCTATATTGACTTATGAAAACAAAAGCATAACCAAGAGTGTGTCACAGTGACCAAATGAACTGTAGAATTATGGTGAGGTAGAAATTCTTGTTCAGCTTTATAGATGTAAATTTTTAAGACTTTGTGAAGGAAAATGAACCCTGAGCAAAGTAAAAGTGAAATAATAGGTATCAATACTGCCAGCAAGGAAACTACCTGTTAATGTACACCTGTGATCTGTACTGGACTGGATTCCATGTATTTGCACAGAAAAATAGGTTCCTCAAGAGGTAACTGAAACAGTTGAGCTGCTTCAGAAATACACTTTTCTTAGAGCACCTGTCTATGTATGAATTGATTGTTCTCAAAATGTAGTAGATTTTTTTTTTGCACCAGGTATATACTACAAATTTATGATACCTGATTTGTCTGTTTGTCTGTTCTCTATTGCTTACTGGAAAAATGAATAAATGTGATTGTCCTACCTTGAGAGAAAGCTGCAGCTTTTCTCTTATTTCATCACTGAGAGGCTTATACTGGAACAGCTGACGGACTTGCAGTTTATTAGGACATTTTAGCACAGGCACTTGCAAGCACGTTGGCTCTTCAGATCCAATGCAGAGACCCTTCCAAGTACGTGTTCTGGCTGAGGGAGCTGTGGTCTTACTCTGAACATAGAGAAGAACAAGTAAATAGAGCAAGAGGCAATTTATATTACTGACTAAATGTAGGTATCAGCAAAGTGTGTCTCAGCTGAAAGGCATATGCTCTCTTTATAGATCACAGATCTAGACACTAAAGGCAGTAAATTCCTGGGAACAATTTATCTATCCTAAAACCTCTTCATCTGGCAAGATAAACTTCCCCCTAAAATTGCTGTATCCCCTCACTGAGTGTAAAAGAAGCCCAAGGGGACTACACTTTCCCTGACAAAGCCTACCCTTTGCTTTCTCTACTTAATAAACTGAACTTAATGACATCACATTGATTAGAGCTCCATTTCCCCACAGAGACAAACACTATTGCTTTAACAGAAAAAGACAATTTGGAAACAATTATACCTCAAGAGGTGAAAATTTATCCTGAGTCCTTGACTGAAGATTTGGAGGAACAATACTCTCTGGTTCTTTCTTCATTTCCCATGGGGAGGCTTCAGCCATAGGGCGGAGAATAGTAATACTTAAAGCACCTGGTTCAAAGACATATTTTGCTAAGAATCACGTCAAATAAAAAAATAATGGACAAGTGTCTCAGACTTCCAGAAAAACTATTTACCTAAGTATAAAAAAAAATCTTATTATCAAGTGGTAAAACTCCATGTGAAAATGTGATACTCATGGCTACAATATCAGATCACTGAGTTGATTACAGAATACAATTGCATAGCGTATGGAGTATCCCAAACAAAGAAGACCAGACTATTGACCCATGTTTACTAATGTCAGAAGTAGTACAACATATTCAGAACATGTCTTTGCTGTATTTTATACTTCACAGTCTGATCAGTGGATGGATTCCATTAGAGATGGTTTATTTCTAATGTTCAGATAAATGTTAATGTTCTCCAAATTATTTTTTCCAAACCAACACAAAAATTACTTAATCATTGTCAAGGCAAATAGAGCCAGTACTGTGAAAGGTGAAGCATGAAGTCTGGAAAATCATGTGTGCTGCTATTACAAATGATTGCTGGTTGTGAGCAAGTTTTCTTGGCTGGGATTTTCACTGGCTATATATGTTCTCCATCTTTCTGATCTTTTCACCTTCTGCATCTTTCTGGCTCCCTCAGTGCCCCTTCTTTTTTTTTTTCCCATGGCAAAATTATTTCATTCAGTTTGTACAATGGGGAACCTGTCCTTGTTGTGAATAGAAGTACCATTAAAAATGTGCAACACCTGATAAGGTGTTCCTCATGCTTATGACATAAATCTTTCAGAAAAATATCTTCGTACTTTATGGCTTGAAGCAAACAACACTTATCATACCCTGATATCCAGGGGAACCATACATTCCTGTCTTTTAAAGATATATTTGTTTTGTTAGCATCTACCTGTTACGCCACAATGCACTTTATAGAAACAGTGTCTCCAAACTAACTTTACAATGATAACTAGTCATTTCAGGATGTAATGTCTTGCATTGCTACTACAAGGTCGTTGGTACCACATACTACTGGATTCCCTATATCAGTCATGTATTTTCAGCTTCTTAATATGTATCCTTTCCAACAGCCAGACTCAGGCTCAATATCAGAATATCATTGTCTTCGCTGCTAGATCATTAATGAAGACTGTGATACATACATTTTTTGACAGTAAATATAGAGAATATATCCATTTAGTAATCACTTTTGTTTGTGTGACAGGATGGATAAAGATACACCATTTGTTTGTTCACCTATTCGTTAACAGTGTCCTACAGTTAATTCTCTGATTACCATAGTTTTCCTACAAACTACTCCTTCCCCACACTTCACTGCCAGAACCATGGACACTTGTCTACATGGGTAAAAACATTTCCTATCCAAATAAGAGATTTGAAACTTCTGAATCCACAGTTATTTCTATTAGTAGTCTGCCAGGAAAGAAAAGCTTGCTACCTGGATGTTCTTGTAAAGGATCCTGCAAGACTGCAGTGGCAGGATCACTACAGGCCTCAGCCAGATACTCGTGTACATCCCTGCTCCGCAGGAGCTCACTTCCAGAACCATCCGCGTGGATGATGAAAAACCTGTACAGCCAAGCACACGCATCAGACTGTATCAAGAAATGGAGGTCCAACATGCTGACATCAAATGTGCAAATACAGAGTACTGAACAAAGGAAGCACAAATCTACAAACCCTGTGCAAATATAGAGTAGTGAAAAGAAAGTGTAATCTATGAATCCAGTGCAGTTTACCTGGGGGCATGCTCATTATAAGTGATGGGTTTGTTATCTTCTTGGAGTCCTGCTGCTGAACTTCGGTCCTCCTTTTCATCAGAGCCAATGCTAGGGGGACACACATTTGTGCTGCCATCAGCCATGATCTAGGGTAGACATTATGTAAAATAACTTAAGTTACAAAATACTTTTAAAACAGTAACTTGGTGCTGAACTTTAGTATTACCTAATGCAGTGAAAGAGATAGAAAAAACATATTTCATGTTGAGTAACCTGAAACTCACAGGAAAAAGAAATGAAAACTGAAAAGATAGTGAAAAAAGCAAAACATTTCTAGAAAGACATGCTGTATCATAAACACTAATATCACAAGCTGATATTTAATAAATGCTCAAGGATTTTTGCACAAAAATTACTCACTTACTGTTCAAGCCAGGTAACTGCACTTAAGATAGCCCTTGATGTACCCCTCCCTGTGAGGTATATGTGTTTATGTTCGTATACTGACACATACAGAGAGAAACAGATACACACAAATGTATACATAATTATATATGTATCTATAAGCTAATATATTAGTTAATAACCACATAGTACATACATATATACTCCTATGTAGGTGTATAGATAAATATAAATGTGTATATACATATGCACAGGGGTGTGAGTGTATATGTTGGTAACTACGAATAAATATGTTCACCTATATATACACTGTAAGGGACCTTTAAGAAATGTTTGTTTTGACATTGCCTGGCTTTGACAGCTTGCTGTGTGGCAGAGGTCTGGTTGTTTGCCTCAAAGCTTGCTGAGCTCACAGAAAGAGAACGAAAACCAGGAAATTCTGCTTATACCTCTAGCAGTATAGGAGTAATAACTAAGATCTTCATTTGGAAGATACAGCTTAAAGGAGTGTGATTCAAAGGGCAGTCCAAAAACTGAATCTGACATAGCTAGTCCATGTCCTTTTTGCTGTAGTCTCAGGTGTGGCTAGGACAGAGGAAGAACTCATCCTATTACACCTGCACTTGGTTGCCATCCCTACCAACCATGCAGAACATGAGAACTAGACTTGAGGAACTGGATAACAGCTGATTGTAACAGCAGGCAGGACCTCTTATTATGTATGTACACAACGAGAAGCTTAGATTAATGAGTTGTTATTCCATCCATGACATCAGCACTTGTTCAATGAAAATGAGGTCTTGAGATTAGAATAGTGGAATGATGCAAATACAAGATACTCCACTAACTGAAAACCAATGAAACTTGTTTTTCCTACAGTTATTCTTCATTTCTCCATCTTCTCATACTAAATTAATCTCATCTTTCTTACTGGAACCCATATCCTCTGTGATCACTGCTCCCAAAAACTGTCCCACAGCCTCCTCAACCTCCTTCCTTTGTTCTCTATCAGCTGAGAAAAAGCAGGATGTCCTAATGCTGATGCCAAACAACTTCTGTGATGCTTTGAATTGTAATGATTTTCTAGGAACTTGCTATCTTTGAAATCTCTATCCCTCTAGTTTATAAGTTCAAAATTTGTTAGGGAGAGATTGACACAGCATAGATTTTTACAAGCACTGCCTCTTCAGCCAAGTTAAAAACTATTCTAGTGCATGTGTCCAGAGGAACCTCAATGCTGTTTCACAGGAATCTGGGAAAATGGTAATGATAGTTGCAACAATAGAAAGGACACTATAAGGATGTCAAATTCAGAATCTTTAATTAGAATCTTAATTAGAAAACTATGCAGCTCACTGACACTTAGATGATATTTTCAGAGCTCAAAGCTAAGTACTAACATAGCACAACATATGCCTTAGGTGTGAAAGGATCACAGTACAAACAAAATTAATTTAAAGACTGAATCGTTCCTTTCACAACAGTTGCCTTACCAGACCAATAAGAGTGTTTCTACAGACCTCCTGAAAAGCAAATGTCCTCTCTCATTTTCAATCCTCACTTGCAGAGCTGACTTTTTGCTATAATAGAGTCATGCCAATTAAGGCCATTTACAGGTGAAGTAAACTGTACACCATGTGTTTTACTTTAGTCTCTCTATAAAGGGGGAATTATCAACAAAAGGAAATCCATCACTTAGTCAAGAACATATCAGGACTGATTCAGGTGGTGTCCCCTTCTGGCTAGCTAGGCTACTTTAAATATTGCAAAGCTACAATCTGAGAGAAGCTTATAGGATAAAATTACTTAAAATGCAGAAACTTGTTTTCTTCCAACTATTTTACCTTGAAAGTATTTCCTTCAGGATCCATCATCTCACAAATAGTGCTGCAAGTGTGTTTCATAATGTATCTCCCAGCTTGTTTCTCTTTCTGGCTGACAAAATCATAAACTTTGTGGGTATAAACTGCTGAGCAATCTTCATCAATGTAAAGAGAACCTGTCTTGATGGGTAAAACCTATGACAGCAAAAAGGGAAGTGGTTCAGTTCTGAAAGGTGAAAACTTTAGTTTAGAGGTACCGTGAAAATGAAGAACAGACACAAATCAAGAGGAGAGCTATCAGACCTTTGATACTGAATCATCCAGTTTAGAGGGACAAAAGGGAGACAAAGAAGGAAGGTGTCTCTGTAATATTTAACTTCAGGAAATTTAAGACTGTGATTTAAATATACTATACAGTTTTGAGTAAATACCTAAATACTGGCAGAGTTTGAAAGGGATCAAAGGATTTGTGAAGACTATCGAGAAGGGAGTTAAAATAGTCAAGGCAAGAGCTGCTAATGGCAGGGAACTTGGAATGTAAAGACAATTTCACTGTGACAAACTAAAAATAATTCCCACCTGATATGTTCCCTGTGGCTTAGCTAGGATAGATGTCCCATCTCCAAAGACAGTACAACAGGTACCATCCTCACAATTTGTTACAACAGTAGCAAACTTGGGATTCTCTACTCGCATACATTTCACCTTTTTTGAGGTGGCTGATGAGTGTTCATCTAAGAATTAATACAGAACAATGAGACATGAGCACAAGAATCATGGAAATGTCTTGTGATTCAATTTGCTTTTTCTCTCATAGTGCTGGATATTTATCTCCCAGTACAAGACTCTCATAAACTTCATTAGCATCCTTTATCACAAAATTTTGTGTTATGTAAACAATACACAATCTTTGAAATTCTGGACTGCATACTGAATATAGGAAAATAAATTAAAAAAAACAGCAAAGAATGTCTGCAACCATCTGTGGCTGGCCAGGAAAGTACACTCTAATGTATGAAGCATGGTACTAAACATAATGACCTGGATGTTTGTAACATACATGTTGGATCACTGAAATCCTCTGTGCCTATAATACAGGCTCTAAAATATGAAGAAATTCCTATTCAGCAGCACAAATCTTGGAAATCAAATCAAACCAGTATGCTAATCTGGTCGTTTCCTTCCCACTGAACAGACAGATCAGTTCAAGGTCATTAAAATCCCACAGGGGTTTCCTATTTACTCTATAAAGGTCTTTTGCCACACAGCCAGAACTTCCTAATGTGTTTGAACAGTCCAGACACCCACATGGTAAATGTACACTTCATGTTAATTAAGGAAGACAGGACTTGTCTAGAAAATGAACCAAGCTTGTTTGCTAGTATAAGGGCAGGTTGAGAGAGGACAATGAACACACTAGTCAATGCAGTCTCATAGTGAACTAGGACCATGTACATATATGCATGGAAAGAAGGAAATTTGATTGCTTACAAAAGTATATATTTTGCACCGAATACTGCCAAAAGAAAGCAGACAAACTAAGCCTAGACTGCACTAGTGGATGTTTTATCTAGGCTACTGGCATAAGCCACCTATAGTACATATTTTGATAATTATCTGCCACACAAGACAGAGCAGAGGTAAGTGCTCCCCTTTGGATTTTACCTGTTTCCTCACTACTCTCCGGTACAAAATGGTCTCCACATTTTTTATAAAAAGTTGTGATCCTGGTACCATCAGCATGTTCTACTACTCTGCTACCATCCAGCTTCTCAACAATTATCACTTCATCATCTCGTACAGTCATAACCTGAAAGAATGAAGGAACGCTCATTTATATTAGCCCTGTGATATTTGCAACAGCACCACCAACACTAGCAGGCATCACGCACCAAAACTCTGAAGAAGCTAGGCTACTGCAGCTTCATCTACTTCAGAGATCAGGGAGTCACATTTTCTTAAAAATCTTAAGCTTTTATATTTGTAACAGTGTAGTAACACAACCTGTAGGATGTTTTCAAAGAACACATCCTACAGGTTATATGAGGCAGCCCTGTCTCATACCTTAGTAGACAGTGCTATAATAATGCAAAAGTAGTAATACCTTTCCATCAGCTGGGTCAGTTGCCTGGTACATTAAGAGTGGCTTCAGATCCATTCTCTTTGTACCCTCAGTGCCCACTTGAATGCCTGTTGGAGTTGTTGTTATCCAGGTTCCTGCCTGGTTTTCCTCAAGTTGCTTAGAATTAACCAGATCCTGAACAGTATTTTCAAACAACTTGTCCTTGGTTGGGTGTGATACAATGTTTCTGCCACTGCCTTGTCCTGCAGAAACAAAAATTTCTCTATCAGGCTTGGTATTCTCTAAGGCAAAAGACAAAACCAGTGAGCACGTGTTTAACAGGTTAGAAGAAAATTACAACTCCTGTTACTCAGAGGCAGGCTCCTGACCTAACCTATTTAATGTATTCCTTAACGAGACAGATAAAGTAAACAGCATGCTAATGATGTCTGATTATGACATGACTTTGGAAGGGACTATCAATGCAAAAGAAAATCTGAATGAATTACAGAAAAAGAAGCATCCAAAACTGTCCCATGAGCTAGAAGATTAAGGTGATAGGAATTTGATAGAGCTTATCAGAACAAAATTTCATGTGAAAAGGAATAAAAATAATTTTGGTTTCAGTTAAGTTTGCAACAGTAGAAGAAAAGAAAGGTCTGGAAGTATCATCCATACAGAATGACTCCAAGTTATCAGTGTGAAAATATGGTGACCAAAAAGGCCAACACAATCCCATGGTGCATCAGAAGAAAAGTGATGGAGATTCCATCATGAAAAGGAATTGGAGAGATCTTATTAATAATGTTATAGAGAACTCTGGTCTCCCTTATTCAGGAAAAAGGAACTTAGACTAAGTGTATGTAAAAGAGCATAGTCCAGAAAGTATGCTAAAAGACTTACTGCATACATCTCCTAGCAAAAACCCCCAAAACCTAGAAGACAAAAGATGAAACTGTTCACTATAAATTTGTCAAGAATAAGCAGTGAAGAGGAAAGGTGGGGGGAAGCAGGAAAGTGATCATAAATAAAGGATAAGGAATAAAGGATATACACTGTTCACAGATGCTGAGACTGCATATATTAGAAGATGGTTTGTCAGAGTTGTTCTCAAAGATCTCTGCAATTATCCTGAGGAATATCCTAAGAAACAGGACTGGACTTGACTCTAAGTCTATTTTTAAGACCCCTTTTTCTTTGGCAGCAATTTTTATTCACATGTTTCCAATAAATTATAAGTTAATATGACAGGTCATAATTATTCTGTGTACTAAGGAGCACTGGCAGTGATCTCAGACTACACTCTGGGGCATGAAGTAAATATTTATTTGGTTCTTTCTCAGCTAAACAAAATCATGTAAGAATGGCTATATTGCCACCAATCAAGAATCATACGACTAATTGATAATGTCCAATAGTAGGTGCCTTAGAATACATACAATGAGAAGGAAAAATACAGTATCCTCTGTGAGAGAAGCATTTCTCAATACGAAGGCTAAAAACTGTGTAACACACAAGTAAACATTTAACACTACTGTACTTACAAGGATTTCTTTTAAGAGACTTTGTGTTCAATCACTCTGATACCAATGTAGTTCTTACACACCCTTTTTAGCATATTAGAAGAAAAATAAATCTGGAGTAGGGGAGAAGTGATTTGCTGTGAAGTAACATAGTAGTGTGCAGCAGATAAGTACAGGTAAAATTGCATTTTCACACTGAAATAATTTTCAGACTAAAGAAATACACCTGTTACTAAGTATCATCAGCCCTCCTAACTTTAGATCTGTCCAAAACACCAAAAATGTTACCTTTCTTAGTCCTGGTCTCAGTTAAAGGCTCCAGTTCTGGTAATGGTTGTATGTTATTTGGAATTGCAGGTGGTGGTAGGACAGGGCCGGAATCAGGACTCCTACTCACTGTGCCATCAGCAAACAGAATCTACAGAAATCAAGGACAAACTGGAGGTTAAAATCACTTCTAACACCACTAGAAAGTCCCTAAAGAATGTGCCACAAATGCAATAGCCACTAGAATACTGCGGGTGATGGCAGAGGAAAAAAGTAAAAAATCTCAGAATGAATACAAGAAATAAAGAATCTTTCTCAAAAATAATGAATAGAAGAGACTATTTCAGCTGGAAGGGATCTACAGTGATCATCTGCTCCAATCGCCTGATCACTTCAGGACTGACCAAGGTAAAGCATTGTCCAAATGCCCCTAAACACTGACAGGCATTGGGGCATCAAGCCCCTCTCTAGGAAGCCTGTTCAGTACTTGACCACCCTCTCAGTAAAGACATGCTTCCCAATGTCAAGTCTAAACCTCCTCTGGCACAGCTTTGAGCCATTCCCATGTGTCCTGTCCCTGATCCCAAGGAGAAGGGATCAGCACCTCCCTCTCCACTTCCCCTGTCAGAGAGCTGCAGAGCGTGCCAGGGTTTACCCTCAGCCTCTGCCTCTCCAGAGCAGACAAGCCCAGAGTTCTAAGCTGCTCCTCACACAACATGCCTGCCCATAGTTTCACCAACTTAGTTGCCCTGCTCTGGACTTATTCCAAAGTCCGAAATTGTGGGGCCCAGAACTGCACCCAGTGCAGTGAGGCTGCACCACCAACACTGAGCACAGCATTGACATATTCATCTGTATTGAGGTATTAAACATGCCTAGGACTACTGTTAATTTTATAGCCACCAAAACAGCTAACAAAAGGAAGTCTACGTTATTTATCTAATTACAGCTATTGTCCATTACACTCAACGCTTGACATGTATATTCTCTGTGTGTCAGATAAAGCCTAGAACTACCCCAGCCATCCCTGAATTAATATACAAATACAGTACAATGTAGAAGACAAATGGATATCATATAGAAACTCTTGAGATTGTTACTGTAAGGTAATTAAACATTTCTTCTTTTTTGAATGCTTATTTATATGCAATACACGCTTGATGATTCACATAAATTAGGTTAACATTAAGAAGATTGCACTCAATCTGTTTATACAAAGACTACTGTAAAATCATACTGGGCATATAAGATCTCCATTTTTCTATCAGGAGACAGTATGTTGAGACTATATAGACACAGAGCAACTAGCTTCTTTGCATACTTCTGAAATGGATAGGTTTCTCAGAAATCCTGGCTAAATGGTTTAAGATCTAATGCAATGAATACACATAAAGAACTTCTACTAGGAGCAGTGGTCTACTTAGACTGAAGAAAAACCTTGAGGAAATAAGGAATTATTTTGACAGTTACTAAATCAAAGCAGATGACTCCTCTTGTCATCTGTTTGCTATCTACATGTATAGTCTTGGACTTTGAAGAGAAAGTTGCTTGTAGATTGATTACAGTATTTGCAAAGATGGTATCTAGTCTACAGCACCTAAAATGTACCAGGATTCTAGGCAAACTAAATATGTGCAAATGAAGAAGATACTTAGGAATATAAAGTCTTTTTTTTCCTGAAAATTTAGGATACCTAAAGATGTCTGCAGGACTGAAGAACAGTTCAGGTGTTTTCCAGATCCCATAAAACTGTTTAGACTGAAAAATTATATAGATGCTTTTATGTTGCCAAAATACCCAAAGCCAAATTAATCCTCAGATGCTTAAGTCCAGGAATGTAGCTCTCAAAACTACATTCAGTTTTTTCCTAATCCCAAAGTTGCCTAAAATCTTCACATGCCTAAAATTTGCATACTTAAAACTCCCTATGTGCCTTAAGTTCTGACTCTGAACAAAGCCAAGAGCATTTTAGTCTTGACATGGCTGCATAACTCAGTAGTTACTTAACTCCTTCATCTACAAACTTGACACTTCTCTATCTCAGTTGACAAACACAAGTTTAAGGGAATTCAAACATGCAAGCTTTTAACAATGAATTCTCCTAAACATACCTGGGTAGATCCATCCATGAAGTATTTTATGACAGTTCCTTGATTGGTGATGATTCTTGACACCTCTTGCTCTGCTTGCCTTGCCACAGCTGTATAAAGATGAGCATTCTTTACTTCTTGGGGATAACTCTGCCTAACCAGAACTTCCAGAGTAGACTGCTTGGCCTGCTCTCTTTCGGTGTCTTTGTGCTTCGTTCCATCTTCTGTAACCTCATGTGTCTTCTCTTCACTTTCCATAACCTTTTCCTCCTTTGCTTCATCTGCTTTGGCCTCACTTTCCTTTACCAGCTCTTCCTCTTCTTCAGCAGCTGGGGCTTCACCTTTCAAACCTGAAAACAAATTCTGAATTACTTAATGTTGTGTAGCACACATTCCAACAGTGCTGAACAGCCAGCATCATAGTGTCTACAGAAGGTGTGCAATTTTGGGTGAGTAAGACTAACCCTCCTTGGCTTACTCTGTAATCCAGAGTAAGGGACAGACACCGTTATTCAGAGAAGAATTCAAAACAGTCACCTACTCAGAAACTCTGCATCCTCCTGTGGCTGTCCTTCCAAGTGAAACCAAGGGAAATTTGAAGATGAATTTATTATGGATGCTGAACTTTTGGAAGGCTAACATTAGGTGAGGGGAATTTCCTAACTGCTCATAAAGGTGAAAAAAAGTTACTGAGTTTCGCCAAATTTGAATTTGTATAGAAACCAAAGTTATTATTTTGTCTACTTGAACAAGTAAGTTTTTAAGATTCAATTATGGCAGTGTGTCAAGTGTGCTAACAGATGCAATTATGGTAGCTGTGTCCAGACACTACAGGTACATGCCTGTAATTGCTCTGTTCACCTCAGCTATTCAGCATTTCAACGTAGGCTCCTTGTCAAACTCTGTATGTCTGAAAACCCTGTGTATGTTCTTTACTTCACACCAGAGTAATCAGAGCATATTTACTGGACTCTACAGATTTGTTATACATAGGTATTAGATGACATCTATATGCAGCTGGTTTTAAAACTGATTAAATGGCAAAAACACCCACATTTGTCTGATTCAAAACCTAACTACATGACTGAACCACCACAAGATTTACTACAGTTTACAGCATGCAAAGATGAACCTCACGCTGTTTTTCAAAAACACTGGGAAATGGAACTATTGCAGAAGGATATGTCAGGCACAGGAACTTGTAAGTATTTATATAGCCCATCAGTCTTCTAAAGGAAATTCAATGATAAGGGCAGAAAACCTTATTATGAGCATCTTCTCTGTATGTACTGGATGGCATAAATTAAAGGACTTCTGTGAAATAATTCCTGTTTGAAACTCATCATATATTTTAGAAAGGCAACAACAAACCTGATTGTAAAATATCAAGTAGCAGAGAGTTGATCACAGTCTGGGTTAATTTTGTTAATTATTCTTACCATTAATAGACAAGTATAGCTTAAATCTAGTATAAAATTACTACTTTTCTGTTTCAAGCCCCTGGAAATTGTAATACCTTTGTGTTCTGTGTTTAAAAGCTATCACCAAAATTCTATTTCCAGACCGGTACCAGTTACTCCTTTGACCTTTTCTTTGGCAATTAAATTGAGTTCTCTGGTGACATGGGCTCACTATAATACACATCTTCCCATGCTTTAATCATTCCTGTCACTTTTCCCTGAAGTTTTCAAAGTATTAACATTTTGTCTTGTGGACTTAAGTACATACACTGCCAAAAAAGGTGCAGATACGGGTAATGTATCTTCCTGTTATCACTCAAAATTCTTCAATATATTCATGATTTATTAATTGAATTTGCTCATTTTTCTTTAGTATTCCAACATACATGCATATTCAACTGTTTGTCCAATGTGACTCCCCAGGGCATTTTAGAGTTGCTACTTCCCTGCTCTCAATCTTTTATGTCCAAAAACTTGCAATTCTAGATTTTGTATCTGTTTTATCATTATTTATGTTGTGAATACTATTAAATAGGCATTGCAACAAACTTAGCAATCTGACATTTTAAAAAATCATATTGTTACATCAAAACTCATCAATGACGCAATAATTTTCTTCTGCAAGTTTAACTTCTTTCAAATTCCTTACTTTGCAGTGGCTCAGAAAACTAACCTCCAAAACTTTCACCAAGGAAAGTTAACACAAGTCCATTGGGACAGGAGACATTTAAACTTGGAAAAGCAAGATCATCTGACATCTCTTGTTTTTGGGAAGCTGGTTCTTCCATTTCCACCTACAGAATAAAACATGAATTAGTTTTATTCCACATTTAAAAAGAATAAAGTAGAAATTAGTCTCCAGATTTCAGTTGTAACAATTTATTTTTAAAAAGTGTTGTCTATCATTCATATTTCACATTTTGAGAGTTTATGCGTTCTGAAGTGGAAAAATTGGGTTATTTTCTTTGATTATGCTACCTTCTTCCATTCACCTTGAAGAACAGTCCTTTCTAACCTTATTAATTTTGCTGACTCATTATGCTATCTTGTACCTTGTGCATAATGTTCAGATGAGATGGCCATAAATAGAAAATGCTCAGCTGAAAGCGTGAAATAATTATTGAAGTTGCATATCGGTTATTTTACCTTTAATCATTAAAAGAACACAAAAGATTAGTAGAGCAGTACTCCCTGTCTGCTGCAAATAAAGCACTGACTCAAGAAGGGGACAGGAAGGAATGTTTGGCAGTCAAAATGTGTAATCCTTTTTTGCACTGCTCTGTAATGGAAACTTTTCTGATGACTAGAAAAGATGAGGATGACCTAAGGAATGTCTGAAGGCCCTGGAATATTTGGGAAAAAACCCAACAATAGACCCTTAAATGTCATCCCCTCAAAAACCTGTGTGACAATGGACTACACTATGCCAGTAGACATAAAAAGAAAACAGTTTTGCATTGCAGATAGAGGTAACAGAGAGAATTTGTCCTGGTATTACTCCATATTCTTGCTTTTAAGAAATAGAAATACAGGGGGGAAATGACAGATATTTTGCCACCTGTTTCTCAGCATAAAGGATGCTGTACATAAAGGTTACTTTGCATAATATTGCTGGATAATTAAGGCTACTCTCAATACCCTAAGATTGTAGTCACAGGTTCATGAAGTAGAAGTCACACAATGGGGCACAAGTAACCCTCAGCTGTCACCTACTTTTCCCAGTCTAATAGTAAAAAAAATAATAAAGTATGCCTATGTCATTAGAGAAAACTTCTAATGTAACCTGTTCTAAAAATTTCTAGGGCCTGAGGTTTTCCAATGCTTAAACTTGATTAATCTTGATGGTATTTTCCTATCAGTTAACCTGAATCAGTATTACAGAAAAATAATTTACTTCTTATTATTTCTGCTAGTTTAAGAGATGATGGCATACCTTTAGCTCTTTACAGAAAGCTATTCTGTCTCTCAACTCTAGATCAAACAAATTCAAGTCATTTAATCTTTCCCCACTTGTCAAGTTTTGTAGACCTCTAATCTTTCTTCATGCTTTCCTTGAAAGCCTTCAGTGTGGCCCGTAATATTCTTACAGTGCGTTATCCACACCTGAACACAATGCTTCAACTGAGGCCCTACCAGCCCTGAATGGAAAATACCTTCACTATACTCCTGTTTATTCACCTCAATGTGGTCTTTGCCCTTCTCATAGCTAGATGCTGTTGTGATCCACAGCAACTCTCAGACCTTTCTCTGTAGAGCTGTCATTGACACAACTGTCATCCATTCTGTAGATATACCCTGATTATTTATAGGAAATTGTAGAACCTACCACTTACTTTTACTGAACTGCATCCTATTTTACATACCACGTCCATGTGAATTTGTCATGCCTGTTTTGGATTCTAATCCTGTTCTCCACAATCCTTGCAGACTCACACAGTCAGGTGCTGTATGCACTAATATGGATACTCTCTATCGAATGCAATTCTAAACCAAGCAGTTAAAAGCCTTTTGGCTTAGAAATCCTCCCGACAGATTTTTAATGATAGGGTTATTTATTTCTATAGGGTTCGTTTGTGCTACACACTTGCTGTATGTTATGCTGGGGGCTGTCCAGCCACTCCCTATCCCACTTTCCATGCTCATGCTCTTCAAACACCTAGCTAAACTTTCAAAATTAGGTAAGAAGCACTTTTTGTGGATACATATGCACAGCATCCATGTTGAAACAAGAGTCACAAGCATTACTTCATCCACTAGATACTAGATAGTATTTCATAACAGAAATCCAGAATCTGCTTTTAAATCCTTTCCAAAGACTTGTATTGTGATGTTTTAGGCAAAAGTAACTTCCTCAAATTGCTGGTCCCCAGCTTGTGATCAGCTGGAAAGACCAAATTGCAGAGCAAGATTTTGCAAAACTACTTCCATTAATTTAATGGTTCGTTAGACTTTCCAATACAGGTTTTGGAAAGTACAGAAGAATTCTACTTGGTTAAACTAAAAATTCAGCAGTTCTTGTAACTGAGATATTAATAATCATAGAATCGTTTGTGTTGGAAGGGACCTTAAACATCATCTAGTTCCAACACCCCTGTCATGGGCAGGGACACCTTCCACTATAGGAAGAGCACGTTGCTCAAAGTGCCATCCAGCCTGGCCTTGAACACTTCCAGGGATGAGACATCTGTAACTTCTCTGGGCAACCTGTTCCAGTATCTCACCATCCTCACAGTAAAGACTTTCTTTGTAATATCTACCCTAAACCTAACCATCTCTGTTTAAAGCCATTCCCCTTGTCCTATCATTACACGCCCTGGTAAAATGTCCCTCTCTAGCTCTCTTGTAGCCCCCTGTAAGTACTGCCAGGCTGCTCTAAGGTCGTCCTGGAGCCTTCTCTTCTCCAGGCTCAAAAGCCCCAATTCTCTCAGTCTTTGTAGGAAAAGTGCTCCAGCCTTCTGATCATCTGAAGTCTAACAGGTGTAAAGCCAAACTTGACAAAATATGTGGACCATAGAAGACACACTGCTTTACATCATGGAATCATAAAGGCTAACTTCAATAACAACTGCCAATATGTACATCTGAGAAAAACTGAGATATCCTTAAAAGCACCATAAATTGTTAGGAATTTGTAAAGGCACAGCTCAAAGCCCTCTGAGAGAAATATATGTTTCTTTTACATAAGTTCATGTATTTCAATTTTTGTTTGTTTTCATTGGATTAATGTCTATTCTCTCACCTTTCCTTCTTCTTGCTTTTCCAGGCCATTAGGTGGTGAAGGGCCTGTTTTGATATGGTTTGTTTTTGCAGAAGGCAGGGATTTTCCTGATTTTTGTCTGCTTGACTTATCTTTTTTTTCTGAAGCTGACGTAATTGGAGAAATTATGGTTGGAATATGAACAGAAGGGATGTTCAGAATTCTTGCTAAGTCAGGACCTGTTTCATCATCTAAGGAAGGGAAAAACAACATTTTTAATGCAATTCATTTCCATAAATGTAGATGGCCATATTTAAAAAAAATAATATTTTGTACACTAAATTTTACCTTAGACACAATAACCTCAGTAGGGGACTTTATTATTTCAGATAGAGGGACTGAATATATAAAACTATTTAGAAAATATATTTTCATAGATTGACAACTTATTAGGCTAAAAGGCATCCTGAAACTATTGGTTTCTATGAGTTGCCAGTTGGTCATCACCTCAAAAATAAAAAAAATGCAATTTTTAAAACTCTCTTTACCTCCAGAGCATTTAGACAAGTGGAGACATTCTGAGTCTAGTATCTACTAAATGATCACTCTTGTTATGCTCTACCATGGGCTGATCCAGCATGGACTGACTCCAGCAATTCGCACTGCATAGGTCTATTTTGCTATAATTAACAGAAAGATTCTGATGATCCAGACTTGCTAAGACTCTTGCTGTTCTCAAAGGCCAAGCATTAGGACAGCCTTGTAAGCATGTTAAGAGGAAGTAGTCATGCTGCTTTCAAAACAGTTTCCTGAAAATTAATAGAACTTAGATTTTCTGTAAAACATTTTTGTTTCAACAAACTGACACTTCAATCGGCCTTCATGTTCTGTTTCAGATGACACTACTTCCCAGGGTGTTGAGTTTAGGAATAGAACCTGTTATAGGCTGTTGACTTCTTAAGAACTTTCAACTACCCCTTTCCTCTGGTTGCCCTGAAAAATGAGAACATGGTGCCTGAGGTTAAGACTGATGAAAAGTGGATTGTCAAGACTGAGAGAAAGTGTCTTCAGTATTCTTGAGAGAGATAGAAAATTCCAGAGGACCCTCTGATTAGAAAGGTTTCATTCCTTTTGCACACACATTCAGGTTTCTTGCATTTGGGAGTTGTACTCTCATAATTTTGTCAAGGCAGAAAGAAGTGCAGAGGTTCTGTAGTATCCAGCGGCGAACACAGTGCCAGATTCACAAAGAGATGAGGAGCTTATTTCTAACCTGAATGTAAGGTGGCCTGAAGTTAAATTCTGGTAATACTGGAGAAAACAAAGAATAATTCAAAACTTAAAGGATATTAACATTTAAACAAGAAACAACATAGATGCGCAAAGGCGGCAAACAGCTTGAGGCTTTTTGTCATCTTAGCTTTGGAAAATGAAATAGATACAATCATAGAATCACAGAATCAACCGGGTTGGAAAAGACCTCCAAGATCATCAACTCCAACCCTACCGTCATTACTAGACCACAGCACTAAGTGCCACATCCAGTCTCATCTTGAAACCCACCAGGGAAGATGAATCTACCACCTCCCCGAGCAGCCTATTCCAAGGCCAAATAACTCTCTCTGTAAAAAAATCTCTT